AAAAATGAAACTACTTTAATCTGTTGATTCATCAGTTCTTTAGTATGAATATCCACCTTCAAATATTCTATTTTTATACATATTTTTGTAAGAACATAAACATGAATTTATATTTAACTATTAAATTATATTTAAATATGAATATTACTTGATATAAACAATAAACCTATGCATTTAGAAATAGACTTTTTAAACAATGGTACATAATTAACTTAAAATGAAAGATTTTTGTCTAAGATCTGCACCTATATGCACATGTCAGATTTAGGTTTTCAGCTGTTTTTGATGATATAAAATGTTAACAATTTATGCAGCTGTTCCATCATGTTTTAATGTATAGTTTCTTAGCAGCATTATAGTTAGTGCTAGCTTTTTGTACTTTACCATCAACATATCTGCAAGAACCATCTGGTTGGGGTTAGTCTGCCATTTACCGCTTCACCATTGAAATAATATTGGATTGTAAAAACAATTGTAACGATATTACCAATAAATGTCTAACTAGCAATAATCTGAGTTCAGAGAGCATTTTTTTCTCTCTCTTCTTACTAGAGGCATCCAACCATGCAAACAATGACTGTTTGGCTGGTATACTGTCACATAGATTCAAGTGTAAGAATGTGATCTAGCAGAATTACCCATGTAGTTCTGACACTCTCTAAGCACTGAATCACAGAACACTTTGCTGTACAGTGACCAAAGCTTTTGAATATAGTTTAGCAACGAATTTTTTTTTCATTTTTGTAAAAGAGAGCACTGAACTTCTAGTGACTATTTTAATTGTCTTAATTGAAGAAATTACATTTTATTTTATATTGGAGAAATAGGCGTGTGTGTGTGTGTGTGTGTGTGTGTGTGTTTCTCTAGTTTAGTGAGTTTCAATTTAAGCAGAGGGAACTAGGAGTAGGCCTTTAAAACATTTTAAATGTAAAAGGTACAGGAAGTGTATTATTTTGACTAAGAATTGATTGGTATCCAATCTAAACTAAACTAAAAAAAAACATTTACAATATTAAAAGTCAAGAATAACTACACAAACATTTCCAAACATTTCTGTTGACACTGTGGGAGGGAATGGGCAGTGAACACAAGTCTGTGGGGTGTGTATGTGTGTGCACGTGTGTGTGTGTGAAGATGTGATGTATTTTTTGCCTGTAAGCAAATAGTATCTTGAAGAGACATCAAACAGAAGGACTCACGATTCTTGTTGGTCTAGCTTACATTTGGGTTATCTGATCTCTTTTTAGATTAGTTTCCTGTGCATTAAGAAGTCTTCTCTACACATGAGTGATTTGCCTATTTAAAGTATTGGGAGAACTTACTGGAAACAATTCTATCAAGGACTGGGGAGGAAAAAATGGTATTTTTGCATCTTTAGTTTTTCCTTTTAGTTCCATTTCACTAAAAGATTCCAGAAGAAATACAAAAATGGGATGGGTTCAAAATTACATTACCCAATAATGTAATTTTTTTCACAAGGTTAAAACTTTCCCATGGAAGGAGAGAAGAGGTGTCTAATATAGTAAAAAGCTTGAGGCAAGAACACACTAAAATTGTCCTGCATTTGAGCAAATGCCAAAACCAAAATATAAGAAAGTCACCAAAATCCATGCTAATATTGTTATAATTAAACCAAACAAAAGTAATTGAGTAAGCTAACACATGCCCATTACTTCTAAAACATGCAACCAAGTACAAAATAGTACAAGCCCAATTGCACCATTTTAATTGGATCAAGGAATAATTGTCCTGCAAATGCTGCATTTGTTTCTGTTGTTGTTACTGTTTGTTTATCAGATGGCTTGCTTGCTTGTTCAGAGACATGGTCTCCCCATGTCTCTGAGGCTGGCCTAAACTCAAGATCCTCCTGACTCTACCTGCTGAACACTGGGATTATGGTCATGAGTCATCATGCCTGGCTTATGTTTTAATATATAGTTAAAGTTCAAATGCTTGTGATTACTTTTGGAAACAAAGGCATTTTGATAGATCATCTCAGCTTTAAATGGAAGATCCAGAAGTTGTCAGAGCTCCCCAAAGGCCTGCTAAAGACAACGGGATTCTGCTCACGCCTACAAACTAGATTTTGTATTTGCCAAGGCTTCCAGGGTCAAAGAGCCTTTTATCATGTTTTTATTGCTGCAGTAACTGCTATTATCAACTTCCGTATTTCCTGGATGATTCATTCACTTGGTGTAAGGACTGCCGAATTCATTTTTTCCTCCTAACATGGGGTTCTACTTGTTTCCTTTATGTCCACTGAAATGTAAAGAATTTGTTTCATGGCCCTGTGAAATGTCAGATCACTGTGCTTTAACACAATATACAACTGAAATGTTAATTTCTACTATTTGTCAAGAGTGTAATCTATAAGTCTATTTTCTATGTAAGTCAACTTAATATCTTAAAGTCTAACTAAAAGAGCAAAGTAGCTACATTTAGAGCTATAGAAAACACTATAGCAGATTCCACAAGGTGGTGTTTAAGTAGGTTAGATTTGGACTTTTGATTTATGTGGACTGGCATCTTATCTCTCCTGCAGGACTCTGCAAGGTACTGTTTTCATTTAGTTTATTAGTCTTTTTTCCAGCAGTGTATAATACATCTTGGAGAAAATATTACATCTCAGATTAGGTTATGAGCAGACATTTCATATCTCTAAGCAAGGTTTTTTTCTTCAGGTGATTTATGGGTAACATCCACATTATTCATTTTAGTAGAGGAAATAAAAGATATATACTTGTTGCATGAAAAAGCAATTCCTATGAAATCCATAAGAATATATATATACGCAAAGTAGGCTTGGAGATAGTTCAGACGATAAGAGCACTGACTTTTCTTGCAAAGGACATGGGTTTGGTTCCCAACATCCACACAGTGCCTAACAGCTATTCATAACTCCAGTTCCAGGGGATCCAACACACTCTCTGGCCTCCATGAGCACTGAGCACATAGGTACACTTACATACATGTAGACAAACCATTTATATACATAAAATAAAAATAAATAAAATTAATACAAAGTAATTACAGTTAATTACTGTCACATAAGCATTCAAATTTAAAATGGTTTCATAAACATAAAATGTATTCAATTGATTCTGAATTATATAGGAATTTTCATATCATTGTCTGGAAAAATTGTCAATTTGATGATGCTTTTAACGCTGAGCAAATGGTAATGATATTTTATATATATTTACATATTATATATATATATATATCATTCTGTTGTATTCTGCTCTTTTTGTAATAAAAATCTATATATTGACATCTTAGTAGAATTCATTTTCATGTACATAAAACATCAAGGTCAACATTTTAATTTTCTAGTCTCCAATTTTTATTGGGCCCATAGTTTGCATTAATCAGTCCTAGGGAGCAATGTTTTGTTTGATTTTTGAGACAGGGCATTCCTATGTGGACCAGGCTGGCCTGGAACTGTACGTTTTTCAGCCTCAGCGCTCCTGAATACTGAGGTTGTAGGACTAGGATACTATGTCTGGTAGGAAAAAACTTTAAATGTTAAAATAAAATCAGCATATGTAATTTGTAGTGTAGGTGAATCTGTACAAGCTTTTTAAATATGAAATGTTCTGGGGCTGGAGAGATGACTAAGTGTTTAAGAACACTGGCTACACTTGCAGAGGACCCTTATTCAATTTCCAGCACCCACATGGTAACTAACAGGAGATCTAGTGCCCTCTTCTGTCTTCCGCAGTATTGCATCCAGGGGTGTACTTACATTCGTGCAGGCAAAATATTCATACATGTAAAATAAAAATAAATTAAAGATTTTTAAATATGAAATGTTCTTTGGTGTCCAAGGGTTTTTTACCTTAATAACTAGAGACCTGGGCCACATAATCTGTGTGTTTCTTTGTAGTAAATGCATGGATATGAAACGATGGTGCTGGATACCAGTGCTGAATGTCTAGCCCAGGCTAGACAGAAAGGGAATCAGAGGACTTTCCTCAGGTCTCTGTGGGTACTGGTAAGAGCACAAATTATAAACACTTTCTACATGCCCTGACAGATGTTGGACTCCTTTTCAGAACTTCTTTTTAATATGTACATCACTCTGAATGCTCTCATACTCCCTAAAAGTCTAAATAATAAATTTAGGGGTGTTTATTGGGCCAAAAATGATAACCCAAGTCAACCAAATAGCAGACAACTTGCTTCCAATCCTATACTATTTCATCAGGAAAGTAGAAAATGTGCCATAATCATTCCTATGGTCTTTCCTGTGAAAAGTCTGAACTGACAACTCATTTTTCACTAAATTGGGTTCTCTCCAGCCAAGGGATCAATCATCTACCAGAGAAATCCCAATTCTTGATCATCTTTATCTTTGTTTTTATATGGAATTTATACAGCTTTTTTCTATGCCCATTTACTATGTAATATAAGATTCATTTTAAAGTTTACATTTGCATTCTCCTTGCCTTAATTGCATATAACATGGAGCTTATGTTTTAATGTGCTCTCTAATTTTACAATATCATAAAAAGGATGTATAAGCCTTTGTTAAAAAAATCACTGTCCATATCATTGGCAGAACATGAAATTAATTGTAGTTACTTCTACTTGTAACATAAAGTTTGGTCTGTCTTAAGAATACCATGAATGAAATTAAAATAATACTTTTGTCATCATCAAATGGCATCAATGTGGCTCCTCTGGTTTCCACCAAATGTGCATGCCCATTAGGGAAAACCAGTTCACACTTGCCTCCCAAGAATACCCATCTCAACACTCACATTAGCCATGTAAAACCAGTAGCATGTTTTTAAAAGGGTGTAGATTCAACCCTCAACACAGCTTATTCCTACTAAAACAGGATCCTCTCAGT